ATTTTCTGTGTTAAGGGATTCATATTATTTTGTGTTTATTAGTTAGGTTAATAAATCATATTGGCGCCCAACGTAAAGCATTTTTTTAACTTAGACCAATTTTTTCCTGTAAAGGATTAGTGGCTTGATGGCCTGAAACATTGCAGTACTTTGAAAATAGTAGCCTTAAAGTAATTAGATCAATGAACCATATTGGCGCCCAACGTAATACATTTTTTTCTGTGTTTAGGAAACCTTATCCTGGAATTTTTTTAAGGTGGCGTCTAAATCCCCTAATTTTTACTAGGTCATGTTCAGTATTTTATATGTCCATTATGACTATTGTCAGTTGTGTCATAACGGCGCCCAACGTAATAAAATATTTTTTCAAATGATAGCCATTTTTTTTTGATTATCGTTTCTGATCATCCTGAATATCTATCAAATTGAAATAGGACATGTTCAACGTTCTATATGTCCTTAGTGACTTTTGTCAGTTTTTTCATAATGGCGCCCAACGTGAAACATTACTTTTGAAAATCTCGCCAAAATGTTATTTTTTAATGTCGAGTCTGAACCTACTGAATATTTACCAAATTTTACTAGGTCATATACAATATTCTACATGTTTTTAATACTTATTGCCAGTTGTGCCATAATGGCGCCCAACGTAATACATTTTTTTTTTTTTTTGAAACTTTAGACGGATTTATTTTTCTTAATTTTTGATCTGAAACCCCTAGATATTTTCCAATTTTAACTAGGTCATGTTCAACGTTCTATATATATTTAATAAATATTATTAAATGTGTCATAGTGGCGCCCAATGCATTCAATTCGTTTTGATATCCAGTTTAAATCCCATATTTTTTCTTATTTCCAAAATCTAATTTCCTTTCCCTCAAAATAAAACCATTTCAACTTTGTTTTCTCCCTCCCCAGTGACTCAAAATTATTTATTACCCTTGGTTATTGGCCGACACCTGTTGACACTTTTTTTCTCTCGTATTTGTAAGCAAACAACCAACGTCAGACTTATAACCAAAAATTATGGTCTATATGTGCATATATATGGCGGTATTTAATTTTGTAATGAATTTTTAACACAGTTTTTTGTTGTTGTTGATTTTTTGAATTTACCTTTTACAGACTTTCCAGAAAGAAAAGCAAATTTTCGGTAAGCTGGCAATACAACAGCAAAAAAGAATATTCAAAAATGTACAGTATGGCAGAAAAAACTGTGTTTTTTTCTGTTGTAATCAACGAAAATAAATAAACATTCGGCAAGAAATTGGCACATTGACTTCTCGAATTTCAACAGAAGTGGCATATAAAAGAATAAGCATTTTTTGTGTGTAATGGAAACTTTTTTTCGGGTGGTTGGATTTTGCATTTACGTTTTACTTGTACTTTCTTTTTCAAAAATCCAAAAAAAAAATATTGGGTAGCATTCAGTTTTTTTGTTTTTTAAACCAAAGGGTGTTTAAACTTTTAAAGGTCGCATCCACAAAAAAAGAACACAAAATGTTATTTAATTGTGTGTTTGATTTTTGTTGCTGTTTTTCGAAATTGTCATAAAAAACGTGCTAAATTTTCATGACGGTTGTCTGTCGTCTGTGGTTCTGGTGTTGGGCTCTGCAAAAAACATTATGGGTTCATTAAACGCTAAATAAGTGTATATTTTTGTTTTCATTTTTTTTTTTTGCTCTTTGCATTTTGGATTAAAGCTGTTTCACAGTTCAACACCATTAGCAGTCGGCATAATTCGAAAAATTCATTCAATTCCAATTCGTAAAATGCAAATTATAACAAGGTCTGGTCTGTCTGCCGGCCTGCATCAACGCCACCATACTTGGAAAATTAAAATTCAATTTGAATGTAGTAAACAAATTCCAATTTCAATTTGAAATTGAAAATTCTATTATTGTTCGTGCACAAAGATACGGAAACAGATGTGCAATATTTTGTATGAATGAAATTAAAAAGATGTGGGTATTTGAAGATCAATTTAAAAAATAAAAACAAAGCAAAAAATATTTGAAAAGTAATACATATACATTTTGTTGAGATATTAGCAAATCATTTTTTGTTTCACACCATTTTAAAAAATCTAAGGCTAGAATTTCGGATTATTTTGTCTAAATATTTAGAAATAATTTTCTTGCTTCCATTATTCAAAACCGTTTAGCAGTTGTGGTCATTAGCGGTTTGGTACCCTACACAAATGAGAGGAATATTCAAAAATACTCAAGAGGGTGCAATATAAAATTCGACATCAACAGGATCTTCTTTTTCCCGACAATTATTCCTTTCAAGATGGCGATGGTTTTGCAAGATAATAGAATAATCCGTCGGTGCCCATCACAACACTTTACGTATTAAATAATCGATTGTATCATAAGGAAACTAGCTTCTTCTAGGGGGCGCTATATAATCATAATAAAGTGCCAACTGAAATATAAATCAAACTGAAAAAATATACATTTTTTTCAAAAAAAAAAAAATTTCCAATAATGTTTAGGGTAACCAAAAAGTCTACCATGTGGACTAAATTTTCTTAATGGTATTTTCACTTAGCATTTGTGGGTGTTTATTTCATTTTTCTTTTGGCGAATATTTGTTGGTGTTTATTTTAATTTCGCAAAGTTTTTTTTTTTTTGTTTTCTTCTTGTTATGTGTGGTCATATTTTGAGTACTCAAAATTCAAGGGGGTGGCCAGCCGATATACGCACTGCAGCAAAAACAGGTGTTACCTTCGCTCATTCAATACAAACTATTTACGCTATTAATAGCTAAACATATGGAGCTTTTGTGTTCAATTTTATTTGGTTGTCGAAAGATGTGATGTGTGTGTGTGTATGTGTGAGAGCTTTATGGCAGGAAGTTATGAAAGATGATGCGATCAATTTTCCTGGATAATTTAAAATCATTAAGAAAATATAGATCGCATGCCAATTAAAAATGCAGAGCAATAATTTGGGGAAATTTAGAGTTTGATAAACTGAAAATGGACCATTCTTATGTTCAGTCTTATATTAAAATATTAGAAAGATTCTTACGAGCAGGAATCTAAAATTAGTATCTACTACCAAGTTTTTGCAGAAAAAAGATTTTTTCATAACTTTTACAGAAATCAAGCAAATATGATGTTCTTGTAAAGAGTGATAAAATGATTCTGAATGATGGTATGTTGATTTTGAAAAACGCCATCTAGTTGTTAAATGTTTACTAGTTTCCCGTTCTAGTAATTTGAGAACAAAGTTCTCTACGAGCGCAACTTCAAATTTCGCAAACTTCAAATCATATACTGTGTGCTTTTTATGTTTTGTGTGATATACTGATTTTGAAGCACTGCCATCTAGTTTTGAAATGTTTCCGAAATTCGCTTTATTTATGAGGAAAATAGAGCGTACTTCAAATTTAGTTACTATTTTTACCAAAGCATTAAAAAGCAGCATTAGTCTTGCGAATAAATTGCCACTGATTTGGAGTTCAAGTTGACCTACCCTGTAACGAGTTTCCCTTGGGCGCCACTTTACTGCCTGAGTTTCTTTAAATTTTTGTATGAATACGATCTTCTGTTTTAGGTTTTTTTTAATTCTAATCCAATAAAGCGTCAGTTTGTAGTAGCAGATTTATTAATCTGACCGAGTTTAATTTAATTTTTCGAAATGCCATCTAGTTTTGAAATGCCATCTATTCTCTCAAAGCTTAGTTCACATTATTATTACTAAGGTTTTTATTAGCAGCTTTAGTTACCTTGGAAAAATTGCAAATTTATTAGAAAGGGGCCTAGTCTTTATTGTTTCAACTTTAAATTGAGAATTAGGGAATTGGTAGTCTAACGAGAATCACTTGGGCGCCACTTTGTAATAATCTTTCATTTCCTTTCCATTGCCTTTCATTAGGTCTTTAAATCATGCTAATAAATTTTTAGCGTTTAATTAATTTGTTGAAAAGTCAGAGTCAGTGTCCTAACGTTTTGGTCCTTCGAGCCCGATTAATATGCTAAAAACCTAAACAGAATGTACATATTTAATCGATAATAAGCCAAATCTAGCCACCGAGTAAATTGGCTGGCTCATCCTTTCGTCTAAGGTGCGTTTGGCCTACGCAGGGACTATTTTTAAAAAATAGTTCCTTTTGAGAAATGGATATCGTATTCGCTGAGCAAATTGGATTACCCAACTCTACTCGAATGTGAAATGTGATCCGTTCAGTAGTTAATCATAAGGTATAAGATGTCTCGGAAATAAATAAAAAAAAAAAAAAACGCGACGGAAATATTGATTTAAAATTGGATTTGAACCCTGAATTTTTTAAATCAGTTTTAATTCTGATGAAAAATATTTTGATGTTTGCGGGTGACCGATATGCAAAATTTGCTTCATCGATTTCTTTCCAACATTTATACAACACGAAGCGCGACGTACTTATTCAGCTTGGGCCTAAAAGGACCATGCATTCGATTTTCGACATTCATAGGCACAACTTATCTAAGCTAGACAACCTGGGTATCGAAATTACAGAATGCCGCCGGAACATGTTCCATATAAGTGAGAATCTTTGAAGGCAATTTATGAACTCTTATTTTTAAAAATCTTTTTTTTTCACAAAAATATGCTCTCATGCTTTATTCTATAAAATTTTTATAAATAAATAAATCTCCAATGCATTTGCTGTTCAGACGCATTTGCGGCTTTCTTTCCGTTTGGAAACGTCTTAACGCGTAGTGTTAACAAGGCCAGAGAATTTCTGACTAATTGGCAAACGCAAAGATGAGTGTTTCCGATCGATTTTTCAAAGAGTCTTACATTCAAACCTCAAAATAGGTGTCTGTGGGTTCTGAATTTAATATTGACGTAGGGTTCTATTCATTGATAATTTAAAATTTACCAATTTACATAATAAGCCATATTTATAAAAAATGCCTCGAGTTTCAATTATAAAATTCTATTTCTGTTAATAATCGAAATACGGAAATCTATTTTTTTTTTTATTTTTCAAAAATGATAACTCACCTTTCATTATGATTGCCGATAATTCGGATGCATTCAAATGCATATAGAGATTTTCCGTTGAGGAAGTTGCTGGCAGAGCTATTGGTTTGCTGGCGTTTGTTGTGGTTGATAAATCCGCAGCCATGGTTACAATAAAATTGTTGCGAGGTATTATTACAGCGGAAAAATCGGGTAATAGTTCCGAGATAAATTACAACAAAAAAATAACAGTGTATAATCCCAAAGGTCAAATAACGGAGATGATTTGGGTGTGTGTATGTGTGAAGTTTTTAATCCAAAAAATTTTGAGTGAGCCGGTAATCCAGTAGGCAAGTCAGTAAGCGTTTGATAGATCACAAAAAAATTGTTTTTGTTTTCAAATTTTATTTTTTTTTTATAAAAAATGTGTTTTTCTTTATTTTTATTTATAAATAATCACTTCTTGTTGTTTACTTCTGTTTTGAACAAAATTGTTTTCCAACAACATTTTTGTTTTCAATATTGATTTGTTTATTTTCAGAAATTTTCAATATTTTCTTATTACTTTTTTCTGTAGATAGTTTGGCGCACTAAATCTCATTTAAATTTCACTTGCATTTGTTTGTTTGTCATATTTTTATGGCATAATTTCCATTTTTATTTTTTTTGCAATAATTTCACTTTTCATTTATTATTTTTGCAAAAAAATATTATTTATTTTCTTCTTTGCACTTCTTGTGTTTTCAGAACAACATGTGTTCAAACTACAAAATGTTGCTTTGTTTATTCTCTGTGTGTGTGTGTTTTGTATGTTGTTTAAGTTGTACAAGTGAACACGGCTATTTAACATCCGTCGTCGCGTGCGCTCGCGTCAAATGAAATTTTGATATTAAATTTTTCAATTCATTGAAATCGTTCACATGCGGCATGTAAACATTTCCAACCGACCAACCAACCAAACACACAACAACAGCCAACTAACCCATGGACGGTCGAACCCAACCACAGCATGAACAACCCTTCAAACCATTTCGTGTGGGGAACACACGAATCCAATTCCTTCTTCTTCGTTTAACAATCGGCTATATTTACGAAGTTGCATTTCATACAACATGTTGCTTCTCGCCATAATCGCAACAGAAGATGACTCAAGCGCACAATTGGGTGCTAAATGCAGGTGGCTGTATGAATGTGTGTGTGTATGTGTTTGCTTGTGCGCTCGCCTAGTTAGGTATCTCAACAATTTGTTTTGCATTTGATGGGCATCAAGGTACAACAGGCTAATATTGTTGTTGTTTTTAGTGTTTTAATTGGCGCCTCAATTGCCAAGGTATTTACACTACCATTGTGTTGTTATTGTTCTACTTGTCCAACTAACAAATGCCGGTGGTTTGATCACACACGTCTTACTGCAACATGTATGACAGCGATGTTTGTTCTTTGCTTCCTCCAACGCTTGGTTGTGACTCACATAGATGAGCAGAGCAAGCAAGCCAGCATACGAGTGACCACAATCGTACGTTCGTGTCTTGTGGTTGGTCGGCCGGCCGATCGTTCGGTTGTTTAACTGATGACACACAGCTACGTTGAACGATTTTTATGAATGAAAATTATTTTATAGTTTATTTTTGTTGTTGTTGTTATTGTTCTCATTTAGATTATCATGAGGCGGGAATAGAATAACAACGCACACACCGCCACACATCTTCGTCGTGTGAATAATGATTGCGTCTATTATTTGCCTGACTTTTTTCTAGCATGCTACAAAATTTCTCATGATTTATTAAGTGCATGTGCCCCGCAGGTCTACGGTGTTGTGACATAGAAAACAATCCCGTTCAGAGATAAGATAATAAATAAATGACTTTGCATTTAAATTAAACTAACGAAAGTAAACCACATTCAAATTCGTTTGGCATTAGATAAGTACCTATGGCAGAACTTTGCAAAATGGAGTAGTCTAGCGGTAGACTATTTTCTAACAGAAGGTGCAAAGTTTAAATGAGTTCCTAAGTTCGCATGAACTTTTAGTCCAAACTGAAATTGGACACGCCTCTTCGTACAATTACTCGTCAAAAAACATTCCATTCATTTATGGGAAATAAAGTATGAAATATTATAGGTAGTACACATATCCGAATTATAGTACGTAGGTATACATTTTTATATTTGAGTGACAAATTGACTCATCAACGAATAGGAAGGTCCAGAAGGAACGAATAGGACTAGAAGCCGCGTGTATGAAGCCATTGTTGGCTAAGTCGGCGATAGAACTGAGTTTATGGAAATAAAAGTTGTATTTTTGTATTTTTTCAAAAATTTGTATTTTTGCGCTACACTTCTACCTTTTTATACCCTTCACCATACATAGTATGGAGGGTATATTAAGTTCGTCATTCCGTTTGTAACTCATCGAAATAATCATTTTAGACCCAACAAAGTATAGATATTCTTGATCAGCGTAAAATACGACTATTTAGCCCTGTCCGTCCGTATGTCCGTCTGTTGTAATCACGCTACAGTCTAAACGAATTAAGAGAGGAAGCTAAAATTTTGCACAGATTTTTCTTTTATATAGGTTAGCGATATCGTATAGCACCCATATAACGGTACCCCTCGATATTCGGTATTTTGATGATTTTAGCCACATTTTCCAATCGTATTGTCTGAAAATCCACACAAGGAGTTCCTTGTGAGTACTTTACACCCAGATATAGATTTGTCTTTATAGGTCCACAATATCGTATATCCCCCCATATACCGGCACCTTCCTATATTAGATATTTTAAAGATTTTAAAATAAGTTTTAATGGATTTAATTTTTTTGAAAATTTTCTTATTCGTTCCAAATGGTGGAGGATGTTCAAAGTTCGGCCCGGCCGAACTTACTGCTTTTTACTTGTTAGAGTTGGAATCCTTAAATTACGCATACCTATATGTTACTTTTGATACGAGGCATTTGAAAATTCACACTAAAATCTGAATTTTGCATTAAAAACTGCGTTTTAGGACTTAATTCCTATTCTGTTATAGACAGAATAAGAAACAAATTTCAACTACAGGGTGAGATAAAAAAAAACTAAAAAAAAGTCATAATATTCCCTTTTTTTAAATTTTATTGAATGAATGCAAAAAATGTCGGAAATAGCATCAAACTTTAGAATAATTTTAGATTTGTTCAAATTGGTCACCTTTGGCACGAATTATGGCCTTCAAACGGCCAATGAAACCGTCACACGGTGCCCACAAGTTGCTCGGCGGTATTTTGGTCCATTCCCGGCGAGGCGCTTGCTTAAGGTGATCGACACTTTGATATTTTTTAGTGCCAACTTTGCTTTCCAAAATACTCCAGACACAATAGCCCAACGTATTCGTATCCGAAGATTTTTGTGGCCATTTTACACTGGAAATGAAGCGAGGAACCTCATTTTGTAACCATTCTTGGGTGGCGCTAGTTGAGTGCGATGGTGCTGAGTCCTGTTGGAATGTCCAAGGTCTGCGGCCAAAATGTTTGCGTGCCCAAGGCTTTAATACAATCTCCAGAATATTTTCGCGATAATATTCAGCATTTATTCTGATGCCACGGTCGATTAATACGAGCAGAGAGCGACCATCGGCTGTTATGGCGGCCCACACCATCATCATGGCCGGGACTTGAGTTCTGTTTGCCAAGTGAAGGTGCACATTTTCAGCTGAGCTCTTTGGCAAGTAAATACGATAATTTTGTTTGTTTACAAACTGCTGGACAAGGAACGTTTTCTCATCGGAGATCGGAGAAAACCAAATTCGGCAGTTCATCACTTTCGGCTAAGCGAAGCAACTCTTTAGTTATTTTGAGTCTATTTTCTTTCTCAACTCTTTAGCTATTTTGAGTCTATTTTCTTTCTGTTGCGGTGTAAGTTCTTGCACTTTTTGCAATTTCAATGGCTTCACCCCGAGCACATTTTTCAATATTTGCCAAATGGAATATTGCGCTATGTTCAGCTCACGAACCATTTTTCGGCCACTGCAAAGCGGGTTTCGATCAAGTCGCTTCGTTATTTTTCGAACCATTTCTGCTGATGTTGCTGTTTTCTTCCGTACACTTCCTTGACGTCGGGCTACGCTACCAGTATCACGGTAACAAGCGATAGTACGCGACACAAACGATTTATTCACATTTAAATGCTGGAGTGCTCTAACGATAGCCACTTGTGGTTTTCCAGCCAAATATAAAGGAATCACACCATCACGCTTGATTTTCATCACGAATAACTTTTTTTTTTGGAAAATTCTCACCAAAATGCTTTTGTACGCTTGTGAACAATATAATGAGCTGTGACTGGAATAATTTTAACAGCTGTCCGACGAGTGGTTTAGAAATGATAGCAGTCTGAAATTGGTTGCAGTTGGTCGAAATTATCATCCGATATCACGGATTTTTTGGGTCTTGGTTAGAGTCTCTATTTAGGTGTGGATAATTTTCTATGAAAAATTACTATTATTTTCCGGTAGCTCTACAGGTCACGTTCACAGACCAAACGACACGGAATTTCTCATGAAGTTAGAAGAAGGCCGTAGAATCCTAGCATTTTCGATGCGCATCGGATAATATTAAGTGTGTAAAATGAACCGCAACATTTGTGTGGAGTTGTTTTGAAAACCTATCAGCACGACAGAAGCCGTTAATAAAAGACGAATACCACTGGTTTTGCATTATGGTATGGTATTATTTTAAAATATGTTGGACCAAAGGGGGCTTTTCAATATATTAAAGTAGTGCTGGTCGGCCCCGCACCGGAATAGTCTCTGCTTACTTATCTATGTTAAAATTAACAAATTTTTCATGTCCATTCATTTAAATATATTTTGATTTGGGGAAGGTTCTGAAGGAGCAGGCAAGTATTGTGGACCGATTAATCCCATATTCACATCAGATATCTGGTTGAAAGAAATATTGAGATAAACAAAATTAAAAAAGAATAGCTTGCTTCTTTCGCAAGTTCTGAGACATATAATTATTAAAAATTGTGACCTTTGTGAGGAAGGTACTAGAAGCAGCGGACCGATGTTTCTCATTTTCACACCAGACATATCGCAATATTCCATTCGACAAATATTGAAAAATGAGCTCAGAGCAAAGCCATTGAAATTCCAAAAAAGTGCAAAAACTTACACCGCAACAGAAAGAAAATAGACTCAAAAGAGCTAAAGAGTTGCTTCGCTTGGCCGAAAGTAGTGAACTGCCGAATTTAGTTTTCTCCGATGAGAAAACATTCGTTGTCCAGCAGTTTGTAAACAAACAAAATGATCGTGTTTACTTGCCAAAGAGACAGCTGAAAATGTGCAACTTCGGTTGGCCACCAGAACTCAAGCGATGGTGTGGGCCACCATAACAGCCGATGGTCGCTCTCTGCTCGTATTCATCGACCGTGGCTTCAGAATAAATGCCGAATATTATCGCGAAAAGATTCTGGGGGATGTATTATATATTTGGGCACGCAAACATTTTGGCCGCAGACCTTGGACATTCCAACAGGACTTAGCACCATCGCACTCAGCACACGCGACCCAAGAATGGTTACAAAATAATGTTCTTCGCTTCATTTCCTGTGCACAATGGCCACCAAAATCTCCGGATACCAATCCGTTGGACTATTGTGTCTGGAGTATTTTGGAAAGCAGGTTGACACTGAAAAATACCAAAGTGTCGATCACCTCAAGCAAGCGCTTCATCGGAAATAGTCCAAAATACTGAAGGGCAACATTCGGGCAGCGTGTGACGGTTTCATTGGCCTTTTGAAAAATATAATTCGTGCCAAAGGTGACCAATTCAAACAAATCTAAACTTATTCCAAAATTTGATGCTATTTCCGACATGTTTTGTTTTTATTCAATAAAATTTAAAAAAAAAATGTAAAAATTATGGC